CTCTCTCTCTCTCTCTCTCTCTCTTTCTCTCCCTTCCTTCCTCCCTCCCTCCCTCCCTCTTCTTCTCGTACTGCGCATATACCTCTGGCCATATCCCAGAAACCCCATGTGATCACCGTCGGCTCAAGGGCCGGTTAGGTATTCTTCGAGGCAGCTGGCCTTTCCACTCCGTTACCGGGCCTTGGGCTGGAAAGTCCCAGCTGTCCCCACCGGCGTGGGGCGATGGTAGGCCGCCCAGGGGGTGAGCTATGGTCCCGCCGGTCTTGCTGAACGCGAAACATAGAGGAAGAAATATCGACTCAAATTGTAGGTGCTCTGCTGTTTTTATAGATGTGTATTGGGTCGACTCGTCCATTTGCATAATTACCACTTAATACCTAACTTTCTGCAGTCAATGAAGCTAACAGTAGTTTACAGCTTTGTTATTCTAATTTACCAGCAAATGAATGCCTCACAAAGTTAACCCGGCAGTTGCTGGGGTATTTCGCCACCCGCCGTTTGCTTGGGGGGGGGGGGCGTTAAACGCCCCCAGCCGATAACTCGAGAACCAATAGGCGCAGCGAAACGCACGAGCCGGCAAACGAAATAACGCGACAAGACGCTTCAGATGAGTACTTTGAAGTTGAATTTTGAGGTCACAGCTCGGGTCAAGGTCAGGTGAAACACCTGAAATAGGGTTTTCAGTAGCATGGACTAATCGCATTGGGCGCCTCTCGTCATAAACTCTGTCAAAATGGTGCACAATCTTCATATAAGGCCTACAAGAGTGTCAGCTCCATGTAGGGGTCAGTCAAGCATATAGGTCAGGGTCAAGGTCAGGTAAACCGGGTAGGCACATATCCCCGAAAATCAAAACTGATATTCGCAGCCTGTGACACATGTTTTAGTAATTCTGGGCAAAGAACACGATGGTGACATTCATTTTATCATATGTGTACAGCCCTCTGCAAACTGCGTGGTAAGTACATGTATTCTTTTTTCGACAAAACCGAGAATAACGCGAATACTATGCCATCGGTCACTCGGAAATCGTAACAGTATGACGCGCGAGACTTCGCACCTTAGATTGGCATTATCATCGTGTTCATTTTCTATCCAGTTTGGCAACAAAATCCAAAAGTTTATATTTGCCCCCAAAACAGACTTTTGCATTTTGTTGCCACACAAGGTGTATACTTTGTCTAGTGATGGACCTAATCGAAGAAGTGGAGCATGGCGCATCTATTTGCAGTGAGTTCCGACCGACTGATAACATAGCCTTTGAGTTATCACCGGTTTTGTCGAAAAAAGAATACCTACCACGCAGTCTGCTGAGGGCTGTACGTGTTTGGTTCAAAAAGTTCAATTTAAGAAATGCATGTATCATGGTCGTGCTCGTGAAGTAGTCACGAGAAATTACCAAGATTCAGTTAAGATTTTGGAAAATGCGGAGCGATAATCAATAATCGAAGATAGCCATTTAATTGTTCATGGTATGGGCAGTCTAATGGCGTTTACGGCATGTGTGTATGTCCATTCTGTGATTTTATATGATTTTTGAACATATGCCATTTTTGGTCGAAAACTCAGAAATCATGACGTCACTAAAACCTCGATATCTCAAAAATTTTCCGACTGATTTTTTTTTTGAAACTTTGTCACAATAAACTTCAATCAATTCCCTACAGGTATCCAAATTTTGGCCATGGCGCGGCGAAAAAGTGGGGGCGTTTAACCCCCCCCCCCCCCAGCAACTCGCGGGTAAACCCGCGCCCCGTAGGGCTATCGGCGGACCCTACAACCCGTAGGGGGGGGGGGGCGTTTCGGCCCCCCTAAGATCTCGGAAATTTACCGGCCGATTTTCAAAATTTAAACGGCGTTCGATAGCCCCACCGGGGGAACAACCTTGTGACCAAATTTCATTGACCTAGGTCAAACCGATGACGTCACAGGTCAGGTCAAAGGTCGGATTTTCACCGTTCACAGGCATTTCAAGAAATGTGTTGTGAAATCTCGTAAATTGGTAAGTTATTGAAAACCATCGCCATGGTACATTGTTCGTCAAGCACATACTTTGCTATCTGAGGTCATAGGCGTCGCCAGAGATTTTCGGTTGGGGGGGGGGGCAAAATCAACTTTTGTGTTAAAAAACTTGCCTTTCCCCAGTCTTTACTCACTCGTTTTACATATCATTCGACGCGCAATGGTGCGAGAAATCCGATGGTGACAAAGGTTTCCTTCTAGCTATGACATGAAATTTTTTACAGAAAAATTCGAAATTTTGAAATTTCATGACAAAAACGACTAGTAGCATTATAGTATATAGTGGCTGCGATTGCCGACGCACTGCAGAGGGCCCCTATGCAGACGCTCGACGCTCATGATCATTACCCAGAAAAGGTGAAAAACGCTCAATTTAATCGGATCACCCTGCTAAAACCTCCATTCACGCATGCATGCAGAGGTTTACGTGGAATGCATAGGACTTATCCCAGCCGCCGATCGTAGCCAAGTTGGGCATTCGGCGGAGAGTGAATGTCGGAAGTGTGAATCGGAAGTAATTCATCTTTGCTCCGGTGAGAGGAAGTGATTTGTTCACTCGAGTGTGAACAAAAGTTTCTCGTTTTTCGTGTGAAGGTAAGCGCTGCAAACGCGAAAAAAAAAAACTGTTAAATGGAACCAAAAGTTACGCACGGCATAGCGGCAAGGGATCCCTTAGAGATAGGTTTGGGACTTCCAGGCCATTTCAGGCCACTCAGGGTCAGTGCTGACTCTCAGAAGCATGCTTAGGATCCCGGAGATCGGCGTGGGTCACCTCAAATATTTACGTGTACGTGGTGCTTTAGGCCAGGGCTTTCCGAGCCCAAGGTGGGGCCCTCAGAAGCCAGTGTAGGCGGCGGGCGCTAAGAGACTAGGCCCAGGGTGAGCTTGGAGCCCTCGGATAACAGTGTGAACCCTCGGGGTCTGTGTCGAGTCCCCAAGGACCCTACGTAGGGACATAATAAACATGTGTTGCGAACCTCAGAGGGTTAGCAAAGTCTGTCGCCTCAAAAGTTTGGCTGAGCTATCAGAGGCCAGTTAAGGTTCTCAGAAATGTTCGAAGGCTCAAAGATCCCTGTATGGGCCCTCAGAGAACATGGACACCAGTGGTGAGTGGGACTTTCAGAGGCCGGTTTGGGCCCTCTGAAAGCATCTTTAGGGCTCAGTGGAGCACCTTAGGAGCCTTTGTTTAAAGCAAGCTCATGAGCCCTGCGACACTTGTACGATACTTGAGCCTGTCGCAGACATTTGACGAGAGTTGAGAAAGGCCCCGAAGATTTCGTTTCACGCTTTGAACGAAAATTGTGTCAGCACTCCAAAACTTATGAAAATCAGCTGTAAAATGTAATAAAGAACGAACTAGGAACATGGAATGAATCACAGCATTGACATTTCCGAGTCTGGACTCGGAGTCTTGAAGATTTTGGCGACTGCGAGTCAGACTCTGGTTTGAACTGCACGCTCCAACCGAGTCTGACCTCACAGGCATTCTCAGAAAGGTATCTCCATTTTTCCCGACTCCAAAATCTCATCGAATCTGTATCGATCTCAGGGGGTGCCCGGTCCGAGGTTGGGGGGGGGGGGGGCAAGCTGCCCCGCTTGCCCCCCCCCCCGTGGCGACGCTAACGTCTGAGGTCACTGATACCAGGTCAGGTCACAGAGGTCAGGTCACTGGTGGTCACAATATGAAAATGTCGTGTGATACATGCTTTATGGTACATTTTACATGAAAAATGCGATTGTGTGGGTCAGGCAGCCCTTGGGGCCAGCTTAGGTCACGTTTTGGTGAAGGTCAGCTCAAGGTCAGGTCATATTAGGTCAAATTTCAAAGTTTATATTTTTGCATAAAATGGGTATCGATTCGATGCAGCTCGTCACGGGGAGTCTAATGGTGGTCTTTGTTTTGCCCTTAGTGGTCTAGAATTGCCAAAAAATGAATTTGAAAATTTGACTCATTATTTTTGAAGTTTTTTTCGCTATAACTTGGCTAAAAACGAGATATCGATCTGAAATTTGGTATGTAGATAGAAGACGGTAGGTAGTATCACATATGTTCCGGTTTTTTCGAAACTCAAACTTTTTGGATTTTTTGCCTAATATATCCAAAAAAAAAACGCTTTTTTATTTTTGGGGGTCAAAACTCAAAGGTTTTGAAAAATCCGAGATAGCAGTTTTGTAGCTCTTTTAATTCTACATCTTTTGTGTCCTGATTATTTTTCTCTATCTTCAAAGCTGTAGGCCTGACAGCTCTTCTCGCGAAGGTCTTTTTTTCGGTCGAAAATGGCAGAACATGACGTCATTCTGACGTCATTGTGGCCAACCTATCGCAGCCTCTGGAAAATATTTGGTCATAATGTGTAAAATTGATGCCCGGAGGGGTCCTGAAAGTTTGGTGGCGATATTTCCAGCCGTTTAAGAGATATCGGCGGAAAAGGACGGGGGGCGTTTCGGCCCCCCCCCCCTCCCTACGGGGCGCGGGTGAATGGAAGCCGGTAGGTATTAGACGTCATTTTAGTACCTTGGCATTGCATGTGCACACTGGATAGTGAGTCATGCACATGCATGTGTTCATGCATGGAGATCTGGGAAGGGAAAGGGACCTAATCAGCATATAGGTATGCCAATGGGTTCACGATCTCGGTCAGTCTCTGTACTGTACATAGAAGAGATCGCGGTCGTGAACCCAATGGCCACAACGAGCCGTCTCGCACCGCTGCTCAATGCTCATGGTCTCAAAACTGCCGACGAACGAGGCGCCTGCCGATTGAGCCTCTATCTCTCATTCTCGGGAAACTTCAGGTAATTTTTTCGAAGCTGGTAGTACCTTACCGCTCGGCAAGAAGGAAAGACTACGAAACTGAAAAAGTTTCGTCCTAGGTTTTCAACTTTCTAGGTACTGTGATATGAGGCGTCATATATATAGTTAAAGTTTTGCTGTAGTATTGCTTAACGTCATTGCGTGGGATAAATACAGCTACTGCTACTTTTAACAAGCAATAATTTATTTGATATTCAGTATAGTCCTTAGACACAAAAAATATTAGGACGGTCACAGGGCGGTCGCACATAACAAATACAGACACACGTATCGAATAACTCGATTGTAATAAAAGAACGCTGATGCAACGCAGTACGCACCATCGGTCAACCAATTAGTTGCTTATCATTTAAACACGAGCGGATTGCCGGCAGCGTCAACGGTCTGAAGTCTGCCCGATCTACCGCTTGTTTTTAGCTGCCTGTTACGATGATTTCACGACAAAGTTCGTCAGACGTAGCAGCAGTAGTAGCAGGACCGCTTGCAGGTGGGGCAGCACTGGTCACAGCAGCCACCCCCGCCCTCCGGGGCCAGGAGGGGGTGGGCGGCCCGCGGCGCAGCGGCGGCAGACGTCAGGGCGGGCAGGGCAGACATCAGCAGCAGCAGGCAGCCCGCCGCCAGCAGCTAAAAATCAAGAGGAGTAGGGGATAGCTTTTTTAGTCTTATGTCTATGATGCCTACCAAAATTGACCATCTATTCAATTACAAGGTATTTGTTATTTCAATCGAATAGACGTTAAAATGTGGCATTAATAGGCATTTCAAAGACGGCATGCAGCAATCCAATGACGAGATGAGCCATCCGTCAACGTAAGCTTGGTGAGCGAAGGAGGGCACCGAAAACGTCTAAATACTTCGATTCACATTAGAGAAAATGTTTGTACTTACCATGATCACCACTGTCCTCATTTTTTCTTGCTATCCTCTCCGACTCAAGACGCTTCACCGTCGATCCCGCCTGCCGACCTCAGAGGTTGCTCGTGCAGTAATGATCCCGGTCTGTGGGTCCGGTGGCGCTTTATAAGGCCTCTGGGGAGTCACCTTGGCACCAAACAGAGGGCGTTCCAGAGAGAGGAGGAAGAGACCGACTGCGCCACGTTCCACAGAAGCGCCTCAGGGAGGGGCCGCCGCCGATCTAATCCGGCCATCAGATGCAAACTATGGAGATGCAGATATTGATGCTTCTTGGGATAGACAAATATGAGCTCGTAAGATTGTTGACGTCCGTGGCTATAAACTAGAGGTTTTCTTGTTAGTTGTCTTGGCAATTTAATCCAATAAAATGCTATGTATATTATGACAGGTATGTGTAGTTTAGGCGGTGGAATCGATAAAGCACTTCGGCGTTTTAGAGTGCGTTGTACATGCGCACTAAGCTCGTGTAGACGAGTATGGTCAAACAAATGGCTTGCCGACAGACGAGGAATGATTGAGTCCCATTTACCATTTATTCGGTATATGTTATTGTAATTATCTACAATTTGCCCAGACAGCACTTGACACCGGCACCGGGTCAGGGGCCGCTTAGCTACAGGCGAGGGCGAGGGAGGGAGGGCTGACCTCACCAGCCACCACGATACATGGGGCTCACGTACCCAACACCATCTCCTTTGTCATCTGTGCCCTTTGTCCACACCATCCTCTGTGGCAATAGGCAAAGCTACGAGTGCCAAACACATCGGGCGCCTTCGGAACTCCGAAACGGGACATATTTTTAAGGAAACATATAACACTTACAGTTACCGCACATCGCAGCTTGACATGAGCAATTTATTAATGATTTTTTTGTCGCAAAAATTGATTGCATAAAAAACAGAAACAAAACACATTTTTTCGAACAATCGACATACTCTTAGCTTGCCAGTCCCCTCTAGTAACATTGGATTATGCAGTCAACTGTCATACAGTGCATACTAGAGAACGATCCATGCGCCAAATTTGTTGAGTTCACTATTGTCTGCACTACTTACAATTTAAAGCCAGCCAAAAATCACTTTGTCCCACTGATGCTGTGGTCCGATCTCCAGCTTCAGCGCTCATCCGGCGACCTCACGCTGGGAGCCGCGGAAGCAGCACTGACGGCACTGCAGGGCGCAGGTGTTGCAGCAGGTCTTGCACGTGCAGTGCGGCCGGGCCTGGAAGCTGGTGGGCCCGGTGTACGGGGAACGCTGGGCCGCCGCCTCAGCCAGTGGCGTCATGGTGAACAACAGCGTGCAGCCAATAACGAGTACCTGAAATATAGGACAATCATGAGGAGAAATTATGGACAACTCATAGCGTTTGGATTTATCTAAAAGTTTGGACACAGCAAAGCTACATGCTGAAAGAGGCGAGCTTACCACCAAGAGCACGATCTTCATCTCTTGTCTTGAATAGTGCACTTCTCTTCAGTCAAAGGCATCAGAGTTTCATCCAACTGGCCTTGCCTTCGCTCGAAATTGCTTGCTCTCCGCTAGTACGCAGGCGGCTTTTATACTTCCGCCTACAACTGCGCTGCTAGGGACAAGGACAGACCGTACATACTTCGCATTATGCTGCGCAAAAGCGGTTGTTCTCGCTTAGTAGAGGGTGTTTGTGAGCACCCTGCGCGTATCCGGCTGGCGACGTGACGAGAGATTTCAGCGGGCCTCAAACTGCGTCCCAGCGCACTGCGTGGCAAGATTACTTTACTTATAGTGCGTGCAGTGCGTACTTACATACGCAGTGGAGCGGGAACTTCTTCCAGACTGGGGGGGCTGAACCATCATAGAGATCAACCTAGGGTACCCCCAAATCTAGTTTTCTCATCGGTTTTAGGCCACTTATTTTTCAGACCTTGGCCTTTTCAACAAAAAAAAAGAAGAAAATATTTGCAAAAAAGTGAGGTAATCCGTCTCAGCTGAGTGAAGAAACTACCGTTTTGGCAACCTGGAATAAAGGTTTTAAGCTGCCAAATGAGTTGCCGAGTCAGTAAAATAGGTGGATTTTTCACTTACATGCTTTCTTTCTTTGTGACTCACAACCCCTAATTTGGGGAGGACAAGCTGCCCCAACGGTTAATGGCCTCATGAAAAGTTGTGAGGCACCGCCCCCACGGCCCCAGAGTTGTGAGGGCAAGCTTCCCCCACTGCCCTCTCCCCCGGTTCCCGCGCCTATGTATGAATCTATGAAATTGTGTTGGTAGATTTCCGATTTCGATTCCTCCAGCTGGGGGGGGGGGGGGGCTCAAATACATTACGAGCCCCCCCAGCCGAAAAGTTGGAGGGGCTCAGCCCCCCTAGCCCCCCCCGGTTCCCGCGCCACTGTACATACGACATCAAAACAAGTGGCAATTGAAGAAAGGGCACCTTCAAATATTCAGGCTGAGGTGATGACAACGTCGGTAGATGCGTAGGTGCGGGGTAAAAAGTAACAATAGGGCAAAACAGTTAACAAACGAGAGAGAAAAATAATACACTGCTATCAGGGCTGCGGAGTTGGAGTCGGAGTCGGAGTTGGAGTCGGTCGGAGTCGGCAGTTTTGCCCGGACTCGGAGTCGGAGTTGGAGTCGCTAAAATCTTACCGACTCCGACTCCGGAGTCGGAGTTAACACTGCATGACTCAAAGTCATGCCCTACACCTGGTTGCTTCACGATATTTCGCTCATTTACCTTTCATAATCAGATTTTGTTGAAGCTAAGGACATACCCTTGTTCTGAACGATCGTTTTCATTGAAAAAAGCTAGACGCCTAGGCGGCTGCTGCGTCTAAGCCTGCTTTTTTTTGCCAATTAAGAAGTGCCTACTTATTTGCAATGTAAGGCATTGGAACGCGCAATTGGCCGCCTCAGCCTTCAGGTACGATAAAAATCTCCGACATGAAAATTGATTTCAATATATGGGCTTAATGATCAATGTCCGGAGTCGGAGCTGGAGTCGGAGTCGGAGTCGGAGTCGGAGTCGGAGTCGATTTTGGAAGCCGGAGTCGGAGTCGGAGTCGGAATCACCTAAAAACCCATCGACTCCGCAGCCCTGACAACTATACTTATTTGCGAAAAACAACCTGGTTTGTAATGACCATCATCGCGTTTTATACCAAGGTCAATGGTCAATTAACCGGTCAGAACCAGTGCTATGTCTGATTTTGGCCATAGTAATAACGCGTCAACGGGGAAAGCTAGGTAATACCGAGGCCCAAAGGTCTGAATATAACACCTCAGCGCCCTGGCCGCACTGCCACGGGAAAGAGGAGACTGGCACCAGCCTGCACAGATGTCGCTGGTGTACTGAAATGGACCTCGGGTGGGTGAAGCTGGGAGCTGGAACACAGTGCCGACAGGTGGCGCTCGCGGATCGTTAGTTCGGTCCGATGCCGTTCAGATGGCAGCAGTGCAGGCCGGGTCCAACACCCAGATCCTGTGGGCCGCTGTCGGGCGCTAGGCTGCCCTGTGCCCGTGAATTATTTTGAGTGGGTGTGGATGAAGTGTGAAGCGGGTGAGGGCAGTGGAGAGGTCGTTTAAATTCCGAGTACTTGCCATGGAGGACCTCTCCAGCTTGTGAAATCAAACTGGCGACTGTCGAGCCAAGGGTGTCACTTTCCAAAAATGGTCTATAACGGTAAATTTTAGAAAATTAGAGCCATTCTACCACACAATTTCATGAAAATTTTAACCCGCGCCCTGGTGGGGTCTGTTTATAACGCGACCTGGTGGGGTGGGGGGGGGGGGGGTATTTTTTGCCCCCCTCTCGTATCTCCGAAACTACTGGACGGATCCGCAAAATTCAAACGGCGTTCGAAAGGCCTGTCAAATTTGTCGAAGGAAACCAAATTTCATTGACCTCGGGGTCACCGATGACGTCACAGGTCAGGTCAAAGATGAAATGTTTCACCGTTCACGGGTCATCTAGGGAATGCGCTATAACACCGAAGAAAACGCATTTTGTCGAGAATCAGCGATAGGGCGTCAGTTGCCTAGTACATATGTTGCTATAAGAGGTCACTGACATTACCAGGTCAGGTCACAGGTCAGGTCACATGAACCTAACTTTAGGTACGAAGCTTGTGCGATGCATGTTTTATGGCCAATTTTTCATTTCCAACTCAATGGTGTTGGTTATAAGACTATCAGGTACGGCTTAGGTCACTTTCTGGTGAAGGTCAGGTCAAGGTCAGGTAAAAAAGGTCAAATTTTAAAAGTTGATAGTTTTGCATAAAATGGGTATTGATTCGATGCAGCTCGTCACGGGGAGTCTAATGGTGGCCTTTGTTTTGCGCTACGGGGTCTAGAATTGCTAAAAATTGAGTTTGAAAATTTGACGTCATCAATTTTGAACAGTTTTTTTCGCTATAACTTCGCCAAAAAAAGAGGCATCAATCTCAAATTTGGTATGTGGATAGAAGGCGGTAAGGACTATCACATATGTTCCGGTTTTTGCGGAATTCAAACAACTTTTTGGATTTTACGGCTATTATATTCAAAAATATATTTTTTGATTTTTGGGGGTCAAAATCCAAAATTTTCAAAAATTCGAGATAGTAGTTTTGTAGGCTGTAGCCCTGTCAATCTACAGCTTTTATGTCTTTATCGTTTTTCTGTATTTGCAAAGCTATAGGCCTGACAGCTCTTCCCGCGAAACCCTTTTTTGGGTCGAAAACGGCAGAACATGACGTCACTCTTACGTTATTTCGGCCAACCTATCATAGTCTTTGGCAAAATTTTTGGTCACAATGTGTAAAATTGATGTCCGGGAGGGTACTGAAAGTTTGGTGACGATCGGCGCAGCGGTTCTGTAGATATATCGAAAAATCTGGAGGGGGGCAAAAAATAGCCCCCCCACCAGGGCGCGGGTTAACAAACAAACAATCCAGACTATCTCCAAGATCACCACGTTACCAATTTTAGTTTCCTTATATCGTTGGTTTCTTATCTACAGTTTTTCTTTTTTACAGATACGCCTAGGATGAGCCGCGGAATGAGGTCAGACATTGCAGATTTTGTAATCGAACGCCGACTGAAGCCCGAACGGGGCATCAGTATCACTTTGAGAAGGAAACACCCCGAACGGTCGCCCTCTATAGTCTAAATCAGTCAAGCGCTTACGGTTCAACACGGAGAAGTATTATGTTTTTCAGGAGACGGGTTTATTTTTGTAGAGTAATTTTTACGGTCAAATCAGAGTGCGGCTGAGCTTTATAGCACGATATAAAAATTTATTTTTTTCCAGTGTTTGGGACTAGCAGCGATAAGCCCTCTCACTTATTGAGGGGTATGATAGACCCCACACCTAGGTTTTTTGCGAATAACTCGCATAAAAAATTGGCCCAGCGTGGCAAAAGTTTTAGTAGGTATTCTCGTGATTACTTCAACTCTACACATTTCCTGAAAATGTAATTAACCTGTTCCCTGACCCTCATTCTCATTGAACTGTGGCCTGTTTCTTGAGTCATTTTCAGGCAAGTAGCTTTTTAGGATGGTGAGCTGTTTTCAGGCTAGCTGTTGGTTTCCAGCGTTTGGGAAATCGATACCTAAGCCCTCACACTTTCTGCGGTCGGTTAGATTCCTTACGCACTGCTGTGCCGTTTAACCCGCGCCCTGATGGGCTCTGCCGAGCAACGCGGTCTGATGGGGGGGGGGGCATTTTGGCCCCCCCCCCTAAGATCTCGAGAACCACGCAACGTAGCGACAAGCGGTAAACGGCGTTAGATAGCCCCAACGGGAAACTACCTTGTGACCCAATTTCATTGACCTCGGTCAAACCGATGACGTCACAGGTCAGGTCAAGGTCGAATTTTCACCGTTTACAGGCATTTCAAGAAATGCGTTGTAAAATCGAGTAAAATGCATTTCATTGAAAATCATCGATGGGGAAATGTTCTTCAAACACATATTTTGCTATTTGAGGTCACTGATACCAGGTCAGGTCACAGAGGTCAGGTCACTGGGGGGTCACAATATGAAAGTGTCGTGTGATACATGTTTTATGGTCCATTTTACATGACAAATGCGATTATGTGGGTCAGGCAGACTTTAGGGCCAGCTTAGGTCACGTTTTGGTCAAGGTTCAGGTCAAGGTCAGGTCAAGGTCAGGTCAAATTAGGTCAAATTTCAAAGTTGATATTTTTGCATAAAATGGGTATTGATTCGATGCAGCTCGTCACGGGGAAGTTCAATGGTGGTCTCCGTTTTGCGCTACGAGGTCTAGAATTGCTAAAAATTGAGTTCAAAAATTTGACGTCATCAATTTTTAACAGTTTTTTCGCTATAACTTGGCCAAAAAAAGAGGTATCGATCTCAAATTTGGTATGTATATCGAAGAGCGCAGGGACTATCACATATATTCCGGTTTTTTTCGAAATTCGAAAATTTTTCGGAAATTTTTTGAGTTTTCTAAAAAAAAATAATTTTTTGAATTTTTAGGGGTCAAAATCCAAAAATTTTGAAAATCCGAGATAGCAGTTTTGTAGCGCCATTTTTTCTCTACACAACCACATAAAAACTTTAAAATTGCTTGTTAACTGTAGAATTGGTGAGCGTTTCAAGATGTCATGTTTTTTGCTCATTTTATTCGAACATGACCTCAGTTTGACCTCAATAACTCCTGACCTGAGGTGACCTGTGACTTGAAATTTGTGTGAAGGTGTCAAATTGATGACCGGTAAGGTACCCAAAATTTGGCGGCGCTGCGCGCCGCCGTTTTCTCGCTATTCAAGAAAAACTACAAGGGGGCCAAAATGGCCCCCCCCCATCAGGGCGCGGGTTTTAATACTTTTTTAGTAAAGCATTTTGTTTCATTTTCGGAAAGCCGGAAATTTTCGTCCATTTCGGACGTTGCGGGGGATATTTACCCCAAATGTCACCCTGCCCGTGCTGGTCTGGATCCACTGGTATAAGGTCAGGTGGCCTACTATTTCTTTTTTTCTCAAAATAAGAATACAAATCATGGCATCAGGGCTGTGACGAAAAATAAGTGGCCTAATTCCGATGAGAAAACCGGATTTGGGGGTACCCTAGGTTTGGCTTCTGAGCCTCTGCCCCCCCCCCCCCCAGTGAAAATTCCTTAGAGGAAGCCCTGAATTGCACGCAACCATTGCTTCTCCTGTTAAGACAATATTTCAACATGAAAACTGTATTTCCAATGTAGGCACTTGGAATGCTCTCAACTGTCCGCTCCGGACATATGCGCCGCGGCAACATCATCAGATCAGATCCTTCCATCACTGCCATTATACACCTGCCACACAGTCATCATTACATCGCACTTCAATCATGTGATCCTCATGATTTCACAATACCAAAACAGTCGCATTTACCTACAAGTACACAATCGACAAGCTTCTTTCCACGTCATTCCTCGCGACATTTAGCGAGTACCTCCATCATAATTCTGTGCGTACCACACGTTTGTTACTGTACCCCTGCATCATCTATCCTCTCGCAATCATGGGGATAAGATAATCATTATTGCTTGCGATACTGTAAGACCTTAGTAAACTAAAACAGGAGAGTTTAGTTTATCGAGATGATGATGTGACTACTCAAGCAGCAGTATTAAATGCTTCGCAAATACGTTAAAATGCATCACACACAAAAGCAGCAACATTCACATGCAAAAAAAAGTCATAATCCAACATAAGACAAGCACTAAGCTTACGTATAGACTTATACCTATTGTTACACATTGTAAATGACACGGGAAGTAAACGGTTATACAGTAAATAAATAGTCGAACAAAGTATGTAGGTAAAAGTTACTTGATTTACACATTCTCACATTTTTCATCCGACATCTTTTTCCAAAACTCTAGAAACGAAGGTTGACTAAAGCATGACTGTTCCAATGCGATGTTACGCATAGGTATTTATCTACTTTCAATATTTAATGAACTGGAACGACTAAAAAATGCAAGTGAATTATTCGTCGTGCTCAACGACTTTGTGCGAACACTATGTTGTGTGATCTCAGCCAAGAATGGCGAAAAGCCTTATAAGACTGAAGCGTTTATGTGACTATTGATAATTGCACATTCAGATTGTCGCTTGTTTGGTGTCACGTTTCGTTGCTCTTCTTCAGGCATAGCAATTCACAAATACGCAGCAAAACTCAGACTATTTACAAGCCTAAGGTAGTTAAACATGCAAGTCAGCATTGAGTATTGAGAAACTATACTATACTGTTCCATTAGGTATTAGGTATGTAAGCCACGATCTGATGAAAAGGGGTGTACTCAAGGGGTTTGATTTCACTACTCCTTGAGTACACCACCTTGGCTAGCAAAATCACCGCCGCATGTTCACCAGATCGTGCCTTAGACTAAAAAAGACGGCAGCGGGTACGAGTCCTTGTCGCGCCGTTCGTCCTCTGATTTTACCACGGCGTCCGACATCGCCTCCCCGGTGATATCGCTCTCCCCTCGCAGCGGCCCAAAATCCGCGCGAGGCGGCGTCTGCGACTGCGCGAACAGACAGTCGCTGATTGGCTGCGGCACCGGCTGGTAGGCGGAGTAAGCGCTGACCGGGGGCGGAGCCGAGCCGAGGGGCGGTGGCGGCGGAGGGGGCGGAGGGGGCGGCTGCGGCTGGTAGCCGTACGTGTTGGCGTTGAAGAGGTTCATGTGGCCGTCGTAGGAAGTGCCGTATGACCAGTCCGGCACCTGAGAGTAGTTGGTGACGTTGAAGGAGTTGATGGGCGCTCCCAACAGCGGGCCGGAGGACACTGAAACGGAAACGAGACGGAGTCAGTCCACCGTCACACGGAATTGAACACGATGCATCACAGCAACAGAAGGATCAAATCACAATTGCCCTATTGGGCGATGTTTTCCTCCTTTGTATTCAAAAGCTTCTGTGAGGCAGGCTTTTATTGTCATGAATATTGCTATTTGCTGAATCGATAAATGTGCAAAGAGAATGTAATAATGAAAAAGTCATTTTCTCCGACCCAAAGACCATAAGCTAGTCCAATCTACGCTTCCACTTACTGCCGGGCACGTAGTTTTTGCGCGGCGGCTCTCGTTTGCGCCACTTGGCGCGCCGATTCTGGAACCAGACCTGCACGCGCGACTCGTTCAGGTTCAGTTTGAGCGCCAGCTCCTCGCGCGCAAAAATGTCCGGGTACGGAGCGCGCTCGAAGGCCCGCTCCAGTTCGTCCAGCTGGTAGGCCGTGAACGTGGTCCTGCAACAAATGATAGGAAAGGTCAAATAAGAGAAAACTCATAAATTCGGCCTATATCTCAACTCAAGCACAAGTATGACCGCAGTTAAGAATAAGAGTTGGTCTTGATGAGTACTAAATCATTGTCATTTGTAAAGCTCGGCATTCGGCTAGCGTTTAAACACGAAAGCTTCATGTCGTTTCACAAAAGCGCCCTTTTTGTCAGTTTTGATAGAATATAGATTCGAACAAACCTCGTTTTCTTCTTCTTCACACCAGATTCATTTTTCTTTGAAGATTTCTCAGATTTCTTAGTTTCCGACGTAGAAGCTGTAAAGAGGCAAACATGCTACATTAATCAACTGCTTTCCTGTCTCTGAGCAATCACTCAACAAGTGATCGACGCGTGTTTTCTGTCGGCGCCTGAGGTGGTTTGTCAGCTCTGACAGAGCCAGCCGTCAACTGTCCGTCAGTCTAACTGACCCAAGTGCGGCAGCGGGTCGTGTGATTAATTCAATTACACCTCATCTGGGTCGAATTCGGGCCATTGAGGAGCGGGGCGGCGCGCTTGTGCGAGAGGCCGGGGACAATGTCACGCCGTGGAGGTCGACAGTGGAGGAGCAGTGACCGGCGAAGGTGCGTGTGTGGGGCCAGGAAGGAGTCGGGCCGGCCTGACTCGGCGAGTCGCTAGAGAGTGACAAGTTGAGAAGACACGTGACAGAATAACGTTTAACATCTTCGCATTGGATCAAGAAGGCTGATATCCATAAAACTGGACTGAAAGTAACCTACATCATAATCGCAAACGAGCGCTTCAGGTCCACCAGCGAGTTCTGTGACCTCAGATTTACTCACGCTGTGCGGCGGACGTTGCCGGTGGCTGCTGCTGCTGTTGCTGCTGCTGTTGGTGCTGCTGTTGGTGTTGCTGGTGCTGCTGGGGCGCCAGTGGGGGCACCGAGCTCACCGCCGGCGGTGGGGTCAAGGTCACGCTGCCCGGGGGTGTCAGCTCGGACAGAGAGGTCGCCAGCAGGCCGCCGGGGTCACCGCCGACGCCGTACAGCTCCTGACCCAGGCCTAGCATCACCTGGATCGAGTGGAAGTTGCGCGGGTCCGTCTGTGGAGGGAGGGGTGTGCTGGTGAGGGAGAGATCGGGAGTACAAACAATGCAAAGGTGATGACCGACGCTAGCTAAACACTGTCAATTTGTCTTTGTCTTTGTCGCTTGTCAACAGGTATATCGATTTTCAAGAAGCCCATAAAATATGTTGGACCTAAAATGAGAAAATTATTATTACGCTGTAAGCATGCATAGTTACAATTAACACCTTAATTCACTCATTCAGATACTTCGTCCAAACACAATGTAATATGTATTGAAGGGCAAGTGACACGTTTAGGCCCAAGAGCATTCTAAAACAATATTTGCACTCTTTGCTATACTTACTTCATAAAAAAATATTTGCTATAAAGAAAAACCTAAGATCATGTCAGGATCTAAAAATTCAGCTCATTTTTCCTTTTTTGAACGCGTAAAAGAAGCGATTCACGCATAATGCTTGGAACAACAAATGATTGTTGCAGCCAACAGGCGAGCCTATCTGACCGTGAACGGGGAAATAATTTGAAGTTTAAAGCAAAATGATGTGTCACTAACAGATTTTTTGGATACCTAGCACGACTCAGAAATAAGATTTATAAATTTGAAACTTGTTTTTTAACAAAACTTTTAAACTGAGCTATACCTATCTAAAGATAAGATCAGGAAAATGACGATACTTTTTGCGTGCACCTTACAAATGCAACTATGTAGGGCATGTTTTTTTTAATCGAACCGTTTTAAAGCATCTTGAAAGTGTTTTCACAAACTTTTTTTGATTTTTTTTTTCGTCGCCTGCTATCCCATGAACTCTTGTAGATAATATTGATCAAAAAAAATAGCATCACATAAAGACCACGCGGAAAACCGCGACCACAACCAAAGATATTTAAGCATTGGTTAGTCCGAATCGACACTTACCGGAGATTTGGAGGCCTGCGGTGTCGTGTAGAGGTGTTGTTGCTGCTGCTGCTGATACTGAGGAAGCAGACCATGCTGCTGCTGCTGATGTTGGCTCACTGGTGGACCCTCCTGTGCCAGATATTCCTGCTGGTCGCCACTCATGGCACTTCTCTGGGTCGGAAACCCACAGGAGGCGCCGGAAGATGACCGAAAATCAAAGTTCGCAGACGGCAGCAAAAAACAGGAATCGTTCGCGGAAACAGTATCGGACTGATAATGACCAATCGCAACCTAAATTGGAATGAAAGGACAGACCTGACTAAACTAACTCAATAAGCTTCAATGAAGTCAGATGATTTTGCAACAGCTTTACATTGGGTTTATATAGTTCGTTAAGCGCCGCCCCGCCTAGGCACCGAGCGACCAATGAGCGCCCGGCGTGCTGGTGACGTCAGAGCACGTGTCCGCGGTCCGAAGGCACGCGCGGCCCGCAGCGGCGCGTGGTAAAACGCGCCGCCAGCCAGCTTTAACTAGGGGGAAATCATTATCGCTCCCCATCGAGTGTAATCGGCCCGCCCATCTCGGTCCCCACTGGCCGTCAATTATTCTTGTTAATTATTCCAGCATATTGTTAATTGTAACTCGATTCAGAGCACCTCTTCTGCGCACCACGTCTATTCACGAGGAAAACAATAAGCCGAGAAGAGCCCTATTAAAAGGCTAATTCTGCGGGACGGGGGACGGGCTCACTTTTGTTCCCCCAGTGCTATGACACGCGCCGCGCTGGGCGGTGGTGGGGTGCGGGAGTTTCATCCACACTGAGCCAGAGCCGGAGAACCACGACTAAACTCATGGTAACCGCTGATCGCGAATTAAAAGGGATGATGCTGGTAAACCGGCTTAGTATCCGCTCCGCAAAATTCGCGTGAAATCGGCGCACGCGCGCGGCGCAGGTGTGGCGTTCACCGCAGCGGGGCTGCTTCTGCTGCAGGTGTGCAGGGTGGGGTGGTGATAGGTCAGTGTTAAAACCCGGTAGGAGGCCTGCAGGTGCTCGAGGGCCATTCAGAGGTGTGAGTTACTAAAGAGGTAAATGATGCTTTTTGTCCTTTCATTTGTTTGTTATCGATGCCTACTTTTCATCGCGCCCTACTATTCTTGAGTATTGGTCATGACAACACAATGGGCACTATAATATGAAGAATTAGTGTTACGAAAATGTCTCATATCCACGTTCTACACACCTATTGAAGCGATTTATGCAGCACCTTTTCCGTAATTTCTGCTACTTACACTTAAAATTCATTGTAACGTCCAAATGTTTATTAACCACTGTTCAAGCTTATATCTGCCTACAATAAAACAAAAAGCTAATTAATAAAAGCTTAAGATAGAAATGGTAAGATAACATAAAGCCGATTTAAATGAATACTTGAAGAAGTGCATCAACAAAGCAAGTAGAAGCTAGAGTTGTTTGCAAAATAATTACAAATAATAATTTCAAAGCATTTGCCTATAACTAATAAACAAACAAATCCATCATTTTGTTTAATCACCCGAAACACGAACAATAAACAGGCCCATTTTTCATCGGGGTAGGTGTGTGATGGATTAGGGCTGACGAAACATTATTTTTGCTCCACAAAAATCGAGAATACCTGCGTCTTTTCTTCAGTATAGATGTCTGTCAAAGCTGCTGCATACCTACTGAGTGCCCTGTTATGCAAAGCCTGAAAGTTGTATGTGATGCCACGTTCCTTGACCATGATGATTATCAAAACAAATGTTAAAATTCACTTTTTGCTCATAATAGCCGTTCAGGCTATATGGCGGATGCACCTAACTCTCACCGAACCTGCACCTAATCTATTTGATAACAAATATCTTACAAAATGAATCTTTTTCAGTGTTTTAATCGATATGGTAATGTCTGATGATGTGACAAGGCAGGCATATAAGCAATTAGTGCAACCCTAGCTGATAGCTTCTAAGAAATACACTGAGCCTAATTTGACCAAATCCTCACCAAATCTGCACCTAATCTACACCAAATGTGCACCAGAGGGCTGTCGTGAAAACGGCAAATAGATATTTAAAAAATTAATTGTTTTTATTAATTTCTCTAATAACTTTTATGAGCATACAATTATTTTAACGTTTTTATCAAAGCCAGAAAACACAAGTCCAGAAGAAAGGTGCACCATCATTTTGGCACTAATTCTTTACTTGTGTCATTCATTTCATGATCTTTTGGCTGATAAAATTTTTCATTTTCGACATTATTCTCAGATTATGGGTCCAAGTCCAGTGGCGTATACAGGGGGGGGGGCATGGGGGCCATGGCCCCCCCCCTTCCGCCCAGCCGCCCAAATGGCGCCCCAGTTAGCGCCGACTAGGCTGATGCCGTTTTACAGAGAGAACATGAATTAAAAAGTGATGTGCAGGCAGGGATCGAACTCAATATCTCTTTGGGGGTGCCTGGACACCTAAATGTTCTCCAGGGCACCCCCAAATACGACCTGAGCCCCCAAATGTTGAAGGGCGCCAGCAATTCGGATACCAGAATATTCCGAACCCCCGGGGTCGATGGCGCCCCTGAAGAGCCGCTGGCACCCACCTGAACGGAACAGTCGCCCCATTAAAGCTTGATGGCGCCCCTCTAGAGCACCCGGCGCCCCTCTGAAGTTCACAGCTGTCCCAATCGACCCATCCAAGATCGATGGCGCGCCCTGAAACCACTGGCGCCCCTCTAAAGCACCCGCATTCTTCTCAAGATCACAGTCGCCCTATCCGAGATCAATAGCGCCCTCAAGAGCCACTAGCGCCCCACCCCCCTTGAGACTGAAGTCGTCCCGCTTGAGACTTAAGTCGCCCCATTCAAGCCCAATGACGCCCCTCCAGAGCGTCCGGCGCGCTTCTGAAGATCGCGCCCATCTAACCCGCGCCCCGTAGGGCTACCGGCGGACCCTACCACCCGTAGGGGGGGGGGGGCGTTTCGGCCTCCCCCTGAGATCTCGGAAATTTACCGGCCGATTTTCAAAATTCAAACGGCGCTCAATAGCCCAACCGGGGAACTACCTCGTGACCGAATTTCATTGACCTAGGTCAAACCGATGACGTCACAGGTCAGGTCAAAGGTCAGATTTTCACCGTTCACAGGCATTTCAAGAAATGTGTTGTGAAATCGAGTAAATTGGTAAGTTATTGAAAACCATCGATGGTACATTGTTCGTCAAACACATACTTCGCTATCTGAGGTCACTGATACCAGGTCAGGTCACAGAGGTCATGTCACTAGGGGTCACAATATGAAAGTATCGTGTGATACATGTTTTATGGTCCATTTTATATGCCAAATGCGATTATGTGGGACAGACAGGCCTTGGGGTCAGTTGAGGCTATGTTTTGGTGAAGGTTAGGTCAAGGTTAGGTCAAGGTCAGGTCAAATTAGGTCAAATTTCAAAGGTAATATTTTTGCATAAAATGGGTATTCATTCGATGCAGCTCGTCACGGGGAGTCCAATGGTGGTCTTTGTTTTACCCTAGGTGGTCTAGAATTGCCAAAAATTGAGTTTAAAAATTTGACGTCATCATTTTTGAACATTTTTTTCGCTATAACTTGGCCAAAAAAGGAGATATCGATCTGCAATTTGGTATGTAGATAGAAGACGGTAGGTACTATCAAATATATTCCGTTTTTTTCGAAACTCAAAAGACTTTTTGGATTTTTTGGCTAATATATCCAAAAAATTGCATTTTTGATTTTTGGGGGTTAAAACTCAAAAATTTTAAAAATCAGAGATTACAGTTTTGTAGCCCTGTCAATTCTACACCTTTTATGTCCTGATCATTTTTCTGTATCTTCAAAGCTGTAGGCCTGACAGCTCTTCTCGCGAAGGTCTTTTTTTGGGTCGAAAATGGCAGAACATGACGTCATTCTGACGTCATTTGTGGCCAACTTATCATAGCCTCTGGAAAAATTTTTGGTCAACATGTGTAAAATTGATGCCCGGAGGGGTCCTGAAAGTTTGGTGGCGATATCTCCAGCCGTTTAGGAGATATCGACGGAAAAGGACACGGGGGGGGGCCGTTTCGGCCCCCCCCCCTACGGGACGCGGGGTTACAGCTTCCCCATCTTAAGATCGATTGCAACCCTCTGAAACCAATGGCGCCCTTCTAGACTACCCGGCACCCCTCTGAAAATCACATTCGCCCCATCCGAGACAACGCCCCTGGAGACTACAGTCTGCCCACCCAAGCTCAAGCCCCTCCAGGGCCTCCCTCCAGCGCCCTGCTGAAGGCAACAGTGGCCCCATCCATGCCCAATGGCGCTCCTCAACGCCGTTCTAAAGATCACAGTCGCCCCATCAATCCGAGGTCGCTGGCGCCCCTCAAGAGCCACTGGCGCCTATACCTGAACCGGGACTTCAGTCGGCCCATCCTTGATCAATGGCGCCCCTCTGAAACCACTGATGCTCCTCTGAAAATCCCAGTCGGACCATCCGAGATCAATGGCGCCCCTCCAGAGCGTCCGACGCCCTACTGAAGGCAGCAGTGACCCCATCCAAGCATTTCACCCCTCTAGAGCACCCGGTGCCCTTCTGAAGATCACATGCGCCCTCTCCGAGGTAGTTGACGCCCTCCAGTAGTCACTGACGCGAAACTGAATGGAGACTTCGGTCGCCCCGCCCCATTCAAGATTGATAGCTCCCCCCCCCCGAAACCATCCCCATCGCTAGGCAATTATTGGACAATGGGGCTTTCTCACCGACACCAAAGGCCCTTTTCAAGATGCAGCAGCCAGGCGGCCCTACTTAGATCATTTTTAAGGTTAGGTCGAACTGGTCGAAGCCCGAAGGTCAGGTCACCAGCGACAACCGAAAATCAAATTTCGCCGATGTTGACATTTTTCGACAAAGCGGCGCATGTCAGGATTCAGAAAGAGGTTGAGCTACAGCGCCGCAGCAAAGCGCATATTCGATAGCTCTTTTTATGCTCTCTCTTATTGATTATCTCAGATTTGACCTAAGGTAAACGTTTTAGCCTCAAAATATACTTTTCGCGCATGACGTTTATCTGTAATACCTCTTGGCTCAGACCTGCACGAGATTAGTTTATCCAGTATCGTGTTCCATTTTTCGAGACAAACGAGTCAAATGAACTAGAATTTGACATTAAAAGGGCATTTGAGAATTTAACCTAAGGTAAAGGTCATCACCTAACCGGGAAAGGTCATACTGCATATTAGTCGATCCATATTTTCGAGAAGGAAAAGAATTATATAGGGTGTTTCATTGGTCTATCATATCTCTATCAAAAGTTATTGTCCAAAATCTACTGGAGACCTTTCATGACCTGAGATGACCTCAGTAGCATAAAAGTGGTCACATCACGAGTGACATTTACCGATTAACCCTCGCCGGCCAAGGGGGGGGGGGGGTGGGTGCCGCCCCCATAGGTTTTTTTCGCGATAGCTCCGAACACGCTGGCGATACAGAGATGAAACTTGGCATACCTGACCTTTGATCCAAGCCGCATCTTTTGACACCAACCGCATTTTTGGGTCAGGTCAGGTCACTGACCTATGACGTCATAAGTGAACCTCTGCACGGTCTTCAGATGTCGCAACTTCGCAACGCCCTCACTGCCAGAGGAGATGTCACAGGGAAATGAAACTTGCAGGATCTAGTATCCATTATGAGTCTCACAGCTTGTATATCTCGGATTTTTCCTAAAGGTCATATGAGGTCAGGTCATTTTCGTGACCTCACCATTATAAGTCAATGGGGAAAAATGAAAACTGTTATTCTGGCGCCGGGAATGATCTCCAACTATCTCAAGCACACAGAATCGTGATTTGATGCACTCCTTGCAAGGTAAGATGCGTCACTTT